AAAATAAAATTTTAATTTTATATATAAAATTATTGTAATTTATTATAACTATTTACAATTTTAAAAAATAATTTATAAAAAATTATCAAAATATAAATATCTAAAAATATTATACTATTATAAAAAAAATCTTTTAATCACAATTCTAAACACATCTTAAATTTATTTTTATTTATTGAACCAACCTCAAGTGAGACGTACTCTGCCTTCCGTACGTAACGGATAATTAATTTCATCTAATCTGGATTTTTAGACTCTTCTACAAACAATTCGGTGATTACGGATTCAAACAAAAATTAAGCTTCATACTGCTCGGGCGTGTTGGCATAGATCGCGCGTTGGGTACGGATCGACCTTTTTCAGCCTTCCCAACGTAGGCATATACATATTTCGCCAACCAAAGTCAAGCGCCCTTTCTCTGATGGCTTCATGGGACCCTCTTGTCGGTAGCGGTAGCTGGGAATATGCGCAAAAAAAAACTAATTTGACAAACATTATTTCATGAGTCACGTTTTGTCAAATAATAAAGATCACTTTACTTGGGGAGGACTACTTCGAGATTCTCAAAGCCAGTGGGGTCGATGGTAGGATTCAATAGGAATATTGGCTCTATCACCGCTTTAACTGCTCATTTATGGACAATTTAGATATGACTTACTATTGCTATTTAGTATCATCTTCAAAATGTCAATTACTTAATAATTTAGTGTTTTTTTTATTAAAAATAAAAAATTTTAAATTTGAATCACATGACATGGCATGTGAATAAGATAAAATAAAAAATAAAAAATAATTATCTTCTATTATATAATCAAAATAAAAAAATATATATCATCTTCAAAGTGTTATCATCAAAACTAATTGTCAAGCGGCTTTTTTTACTTTTTTTTCATTTTTACTGTTGACGGGTAATCCTAATCTTTTTCATCTTCACAACTTCGATTATGGATTGTAAGGCACTTTTGAAAGAAAAGAGAGCAACATGGCTGGTGATGCAATTGCTAAGAAAGGAGTTCAATCTTCTCGGTTTTATTATTTTGTATGATTGTCCACCTGCGGTGGACTTTTTGTGTATGGCTATTTCTCTCAATATTTATCAAAAGAAAAAAGACCACTTTACTTGTATTTTGTACCATCTTTGTATTATCTTTGTATTATAAGATGGGATATTCTTATGTACAAGACTTACATATAAGTCATATAAAATCATAACTATTAAATTTTTACTATATTAAGATTAATTATCACTTTTTAGATGAAAATAATTAACTTTAAAAAATTAAGATGATAAATAAATAAATCTCAATTATTTGTAGTAAACAAATGAATAATTAGATTTGGTGTTGATGTTTATAAAAGTTGTATGTAAATTGATCTTAACTATTATATTACGTTATAAAAAAAGTGTTTTATAAATTCTCCTTTTCAATATTTTTTAATAGATCCAATAGAGTGGTATTTTTGTTGTTTAAACTCTATTAAATTGTAAAACACTAATTTCTAACAAGAGTAATTTACTCATTGGCAGGTTCATTTGCTATCCAATAATTTATATTTTATAATTTAACACAATTCGAAATACAAAACACCCTTTAAAAAATATATATACCTTATTTTATAAGTCCACAGTACTAATTTAGTTGATAATATATATATAACAGAACTTAATTTTGGGATATTTCTTGATTTTAGTTTATTGAATGCTCATTATTTTCTTTTCTTGATGAATACTGGTTAATTCGTTCCATTATACTACTTTTATGAGTATGCCAATAGTCATTTAACCAAATCCTTGATTTTAGGTCAGTTGTTACTAAAAGGGGATCATGTAATTTTTACTCTGAAGTTTGTAAGGCTTAATTTGTTTAGGATTTCTGTAGGGTGTTGTGGCCTGTGCCTTGTGGTTGTAGATTTTTATCTCTTACTATTTAAAATATATAAAATTTAAATAAAAATTATTAAAAATATATATAGAAAAATTTATTAAAATTAATAACGAAATTTTATTTTTTATAAATTGATGGGTAAAAAAATATATAAGGCTGGTTAACCTAAAAAGAACCAGACCAAACCTATTTAAGATGGAGATTGAATTGGTTTAATTTTTTTTTCTAACTATTTAAAACAATTTAGTTTAAGAAATATCTAAAATCAAACCATGAATACACCTACCCAAAGCTGTTAACAAGTTGAGTTGAATATTTAAGTACTCGTGTTTGAGCTTGCTTTAAAAATTTAAACTTGAATTGAGCTCCAGCATTTTTCAAATTCAAAATAGTTGAGCTTATGCTCAAATTTGTGAGTATTTGAACAAGTTTGAGTTTGTTAATAAACTCAAGTAAACAAGTGCTTTAACTTGAATTTGTGTTTTTATTT